CTTATATTATGACGGAGCATAACAAGACCTTTTGTTGTAAATTTATGTCCTGTTGATTGTGATGGTAAAGTGTGATGCTCTCTCTGTTCCCTTCGAGAGCCCTCTGTGAGATTAGGAAGATTGTGAATTTATTTTAAATGGGAGCGGGTCAGATTATGAAAATGAAAAAAAATGAAGCTTTTAATTCTTTTCAGATTTACAGTTCTCTGTAAATGAAAAAAAAATGGAACTTTTAAATTTATTTTAAATGGGAGCGGGTCAGATTATGAAAAAAAAATGAAACTTTTATTTCTTTTCAGATTTTTAATTTTACTAAGAAATAGAGAATTAAAGTATTGTTCTTGTAGGTGAAATTACATTTGTTCTCTGTAAATACACATTTAATTTCTAATGGGAAAACTATGAAAAAGGACTGGCGACTACTTCCTTGACTAAGTTTTTGTCTGTGTTAAAATATGAGCATTATCATGCATGCTATTTATATTTAGGAATTAACTATAAATACATTGGTCCTTGGATATATCATTCGCTCAGCACTAATCTTTTTTTTTGGTGGGAAGGGGTTTGTTTTGTTTTTGCCTGTGATTAAATATATGCACAGTTGAACAGTATTTGGAAGGAAGAATTGGTGGTCTAGTTCTTAAGGAAGATTTTTTTTTCTAGCATAAAGTTACTTTTTAAATTGTCTTAAAATCCTAGCAGAGGAACTACAAGAGACTAAAAATACAGCATTCTTACTAGGAATTATATTATGCTTCGGGTCTGTGCAATCTTGGTTAGATTTTGAGAATCCGTAATCTTCATTTTAGAGCCGGTATCTTTGAATGCAAATGCCCCTGTTAATTCTCTGCCTTTTCAGAAACTCGTCTGTAACGCTTTGTTTTCATTCTCTTTTCAGGGGGCCACTCCTGGCCCCGTCAGTAACAAGAGGATGGTTCGCTTTTCCCCAGACTCTCATCACCACGAGTGAGTACAGGATGCACTAACTTCGTGTAACCTTGTCTGGGGCATTCTGCGTCTTTTGGGAAACTGGTAGCTATTGCTAGGAAGGGTGGTTTAATTTGTACTTATCTTAAGAGAAAGTAAATATCATATACCAATGACACTTGTGCAAGAACCATGTCTGTGAATCCCATGGCAGAAATTTAAATGGAGTTTTTTTCTTAAATGCAGTCATTATTTTATTTGTGGTAGAATTTGAAATTCATGCGTTATTGAAACTCATGTATTGTGTGACAGCATTTAAGTTTTCATTACATTAAGTTGCCTCAAACTCTTCTACTTCATCCTTATGCCCTTCCTCCTCCAACTCTTTCTAAAGTACTAAAATGAAGAGTAAGTGACTTTTTCTCAGTCACTTCTCCACTCTCTGCTCCTGTCCATCGCGAGCTGACAGGACCAGAATTTATTTCCATTCAGCAACAAGAGGAAGAGACTCATTTACTACATAATTCCAAAAGCTAAGTAATTGAGCTTTGACTTTGGTGAATTACTGGGTAAATTTCTAGGAGCTAATTCTATTTCTAAATGCATCTTTGTTACAAGAGCTTAAATACATTATATATTTTGGCTCAATACCATATGTCTCCTGTGAAGTTGGTTGAACTTGAGAAAGGCCATAAAGTATGGAAAGATGTGAATTAATTAATTGAGGGAATTTTTTTCTGGCAAGGAATCCTATTAGGATCCATTGGATCCTATTTTTTAGTTCCTGTCCTTAGCAAATATGAAACAATTTTTTTCAGATATAGCTTATTTCATATAGATTATTAACATAATGTAAAAATAATTTATATAACATAAAATGTTATTTAAATAGATGCCATTTTATATATTCATTTTAATAGATTACGATATCATATTCTTTTTTATTGTACTATAAGAGGGCATCTCTCTTGTCCCTTAAACAGAAGGGGAGGGGGGAAGCAGAGTAAAGCATTTATTATCTCAGAATGACAACCAAAAGGCTCATATACTTTCATCTTTTCTAGTCTGATATGAAACAAAAACTCTAGCAAGTAGATTTTTTGGTAACGATTGCAAAAGCTCTGAGGGCAGACGAATACCGTCTCTTCATCACCGCTGTATGCCCAGGCCCGCAGTTGCTGATACGTAGGGAACTGTTACTGAGTGAATGAAGACATGAAGGTGTGAATTTAAAATGGGACAACCTGGAGAGTGTCAGCGGAGGATTGCTGCTCACATTAGCAGGTGTGACCCTCACTGTATTCTCCTGACAGCCCTGCCACACCGGCCTCTACAGAGGTTCTCAGTCCATTTAATCAGATTCTCTGGGGGAGGAACTCAGCTGTCACTACGTTTAGAGCTTCCTGGTTATCCCAGTGGGTTTGATTTTCATTCTCTCGACACTGAGGATTAAAATGAAGTCATTTTCTGACCTCACAGCCTGCATGCTGCTAGTTCAGTTTCTGCAGGATCTCACGGCGACCCCACCCTTTTCAACTTCCTCCTCCTCGTCTTTAATTAAAGCTCTGTTATCTTTTGCGTTTAGGAGCCTCGCGAGTTTTTCCGTCTGTTCTGTTTCAGTACATACGACCCAAGTCCCGCTCTGCTCCTTTCCTTTCCCTCCCGACAGCCTGCAGTATTGCCTCTTGCTTTTGGGGAGACCTCCTAAGTATATCATCGAACACCCTCCATCATCTGGCTCCGGCGACCTTTCTACCTTAGCCATCGGCGCTCCCTCTTAAGGCCCAGGGTCCCGCTATCTAGTCGGCCCCCGTTCCCTGAGTATAACCTCCGCTTCACTGCCTGCCGTAGCCTGGGACCTCGCTCGTGCATCCCTCCTGCCCTTATGTGCGAACATCCTATTTGCTCTTCGAGATTGATTAAAAACCACCAACTTATCAGGACGTGCTAGGCGAAAGCAGCAGAACCACTCTGAGAGAGTTCAGTGAGCAAGCGGCCGCTCTAACCAAATTTCTTTCATTGCCATTTACTAATCTGCGTGAACAAGGTTTCTGAGCATTCAAATCAATAAAAGTGAAAAATATGAATAGAATTGATGCTAGCAGTAATATCAGTGGATACACAAACCATTGGGGGAGAAAACGGTTATTTTAATGATGTCGTTCTAATTAAATTTTATTTTTTATGTTTAGTGTTATCGAAATATGTTATATTTATACTGGCTTAATTAGTTGACCTTATCAACTAACAGTTTTTATCAGCATTGACTGATAAACTTTTCCAAATGATTTTTTAACTCTAGTTTTATACTCGGAAATTTAAGAAAAGTATGTATATATGTGTGTATGTATATGCACACATGCAGAGGACTATATAATAGGGTTATTAATAAAAGGCTTTTGAGCATAAAAATAGTTTACATTAGGATGAACTTCTGTGAGGCAGTGAACTAGAGAAAAGAGAAAAATAAATCCTGTAAAATTTTCAACTTTTAAAGAAGTACTTGTCTTTTTTTTTTTTAATATTCAATCACAGTGATATTTGGATTCCAACATATTTATTTGAAAGCATGGTTTATGGTTTTATTTTCAAAGCAATATATGTGATTGGTAGAAAGCCAATCCTTTGTAAAGATTTCAATTGATTGTGAAAAAATTTAGATGTCTACATAAAATATGTGAGGATGTTTTCTTAATTATTTCAGACAGTATATCTTCAAAGATTGTTGAAAACCAATGTTGTATAACATGCTTTCAGAAAAAAAGCATTGCAAAAATCCTGCAAAGAATGGTTTAAACAAACAGCAGTTTAGTTTACTGACATAGCCATAAGTCTGGAAGTAGGTAGTTCCAAGGCTATGAAGAAGCAATAACAGTATCTGCCACAGCCTTCTTTGAAGGAATCTTTGGCATTTTGCCCCAAATTCCCACCAGCAATTCTCCCTATCTTCTGTGTTGTCCCATTAGGCTTTTATTTCTACTCCGTTATAGTATTTATCACATCGCTCTTTATCACGTAATTATTATATGCATGTTTCATAACCCTCGATGGACCATGGATTTGCCGTGGTTAGAGACTTTCTCTTGTTGTTTAGGTTTCTTATAATAAACAGCACAGTGCTGCCTACGTGAATCACAGGCTCTGGGTTCAAGGTTATGGATTCCGCTGCCAGAACTGATAGGAAGTCACGCCCCTTTCCGAGTGCCTGCTCAGCGCACAGCAGAAGTACAGACTAACTGTGGTTTTATTTAATCCTAACTGCAGTTTCCCTCACAGTTATTGTAATCTGGGACCTGTGAGAATGGCTAGAAATCGTCATTAAGTTCCTAAATATTTAGAAACCACTAATTGGATAGTAAGCGACAACGACTTTCATTCAGTTAATCATGATTCCTCTAAGTCAATGTTTGTTTCACTTTGGAAAATCACTCCAAAAACAGTCTCATACAGGAATACTTAAAATAATTTTACCTCATGGAATTCGAAACTTGCAAGTAGATTTTAAAAACTAGGGGGAAATAGCTTGCAGGCTCTAAAACAGTATCATTTAGGAATTTCAGTTTTGAAGCCACGTGGTTAGGTGGTCACATGGTTAACAAAGTTTCCTGTAGGGCAGCCTAGAAAGCGACAAATCAGAAGAAACGGGGCTGCTGAGCTGGGGACGGAAAAGGATGTTTTTAGCGTGGATAGAATAACATCCAGGCTGGCGCTCAGTGTGGAAAGGCTCACCTCACTGAGAATGCGTAGCTCAGCGGATGAGTAGCAGAGGTAGGTCAATGAAGTTTGGGTGGTTTCTGGAAAAATTATATTTTAGAGTAATTTCAGCTATAAAAAAGAAACTACTCAGAAATTTGGTGAACAACCAACTTTTCAGAACACGAAGTCTTGGACTTGGAGGTAAGCCGGCGTGCTATGTACAGATATTGAGAAGCCTTGCAGTGTCGTGATAAAAAACACGATTACTGTAATAACATAACACTTATAATTGTACGAATTGATTCATATACCGTCTAAAAATTACTTTTTTTGGAAAATGTACTACTATATTTAAAGACCAATTGTTAGCATGCTATAGGTTTCTTTTCAGAGAAAATATTGAGCCCAGATAAATGAAATATTCATTAAACTGACTATAAAGAGATACACAAAAAGTGACAAGAACCTCAGTCCAACAAAAACAGAGGAATTAGGATATAATTTCTGAGAAAAAACATGTTAAGATTTTAAATTTACATTTAGTCATTGTTAATTTTTCTGAAAATACATGTGTTAAAATGTGGAAAATAAAGTTAACATATGACTACCTACTTTAAAAAATTTTTAAGACACCAAACGCGGTTACTTTTTATTTATTCTACCTCCTTTTATGTACTGAACTTAAATGGTTCCAGAATTTTTCCACTCTTTTTTCCAATCATTTATAAGATAGTTATTTTTAAATTGATTAAATATGATTTATTAATCTTTAAAATTGATATTTATATTTTTCTTTTATTTCATTTTAAAGTATAGGATATTTACCTGAGGAATCGTATGTACATCAAAATTTATTTTAAATGCACATAGGTAATTACCTATAATCCTATGATGAATTCCTTTAAAAAGTAAATATTCACCCCTTATTTTATCTTTTGTATAAATATCGAGTTTGCTTACAGCAGGCTTTGCCTGGATTAAAGGTTATGTTCATTGGGAATACTTCTGCACTTTGAAATTTAGCATCTATTGCTTTATCATGAAAGTGGCTTTAACTTTAGGTTGAGATAAATAAGATATACTGGATCAATTCCTCCTCTGATTTACCGATTCCCTTGGGTAAGTCATTTAGCTTACATATGTCTTAATTTTTAGTTATAGAGTAAGGATAAAAACGGGCCTCTCTTATGTAAGACATTTTTACAAAATACTTGTGTAAAATATAGAAAGATTATTGAAATAAGTATAAAACGTTTCAGGATGCTGCTGCTGCTGCTGCTTTATTTGGATAGTATACTTTATTTTTCAGAGTTTTCATCGGCACTTTTCAATGCTTTTATTGCCTCTTAGAAGCAGTCATAGTAGTATCGCTTCTTCATTTTACAGGTAATCTGATTTTTCTAAAGTCAGACACTACTCTCACTCGGCCAAAAGCCAAGTGAAGAAACCAGTGTTCTAAGCATCTTTTACATACTTGATAACGTGCTACACCTGTTGGGGACCTAGAAATATCACCCAGGAGCACTGGTGTCTTTACTGACACTTAGGAATTAAAAATCACAGAAGACAAGTTCACATATTACTATATGTCACTGGGTGCTACGAGGGGAGGTTGGATTTAAAGCTACTGCTATGCCCCAGATTCTTTCTTAGTCTGATCGAAGGCTCTCAACACTATGAGGGAGGTGCGGCGAGTTTCATTGTATGTACGTCAGGCTTTGTTCCTAGACATGCCCAAGCCGCGTCTGTGTCCGAGAGAGAGAACTGAGCTTGGGAACCACACGAGGCTGTCGTGAGGTTAAATGAGGTCGTCTCTGTGCGACGCCTAGCACGGGACCCCGCACCCCTGACATTCATCGGGAGGCGGTGGGTTTGTACGGCCCCTTCTCCTACTGCTACTACCACGTTTTCTACGACCACTATTACAGTTCCGTTACTTCGACTATAATCACCATCCCTTTCTCAAGGACCTCGATTCTCCATCAGGGTAAACAAACAACTGCAAGATAGGAACATAAGTGCTGTGCAGGAGCAAAGTCACTGAAAGTTTAGAATGGGAAGCATCCGAATCTGCCAGGGGGAGTATGACAGGCCGCCCACAGGTAAACCACGGGCACGGCGGCCACCATCGCCCTACCCCACGTTATTGCCCCTTCCAGATCATTCTTTTTAAACTCCTGTGTAAAACTTCTTTCTTGTTTGCGGCACATGCTTCCAGCAGGAAAGAAAAAAAAAAACAGTGATAAGAGAGGGAAATAAAGAAAACAAATGAGCAAATTTTCTTGTATCAAAAGAGCCAGATCTCTGGATGGAAAGATCTCGCCCATCCCAGTGATGACAAGGGCTCAGTACGAGTGAATTAGAAACTGCCTAAAGCATCCAGAGAGGGAAAACACAGATCGCATTTTTAAGAGAACAGGAAGAAGCATTGGGTTGGTAAATTGGAAACTACGCATGTGAAGAAGCAAGCAGACAGATAAAGGGGAGAAAAGGTCAACTCAACAATGTGCTTCTCCAGCCCTCTCAAGATACTGTTCAAGTGAGCGCTTTGGGAAAAGGCTGAAATAAACCGAGAAGCTATGGGATTCAGGGAACAGAGGGACGGCAAAGGAGAGCGATGACAGGAAGGCCCAGTGAAGGCAAAGGCAAGACCCAGAGCAGATCTGGAGAAGAGCCACCGGGATGAGACCAAGCGGACAGAAGGCTTAGGGGAGGCGGTGGGGAAGGGATGGGTATATTGTCAGACACCTTTTTTAATATTTGAAAATTAGCAGTGATAAGGATTCCACAGCTCTCATAAAGAAGGCCAGTGAGTACACAGAAAAAAATAGCCAAGGAAGAAAAACAAGACAACTCTCGTCTTCAGGAGAAATGAAAATTTCAGCACCGCGAAGTGTTCACACAGTTATATCTGCCTTCACAACTGATTAATCAAAAACGGTGTTACAACTGGAAATAAGGGGTTGGGAGTTTCAAAGGGGCTAAGTTTACAGTCGTGGGGAGTCAGTCCTTCACGTCTAAAATCAATCACAAAACATCGGTATAATCCCATTCTTTTGAAATACATCATTAAATACCAAAAGAAAAGGCCAGAAGAAGTGACAGTAGTTTCTCTGGACAGAGCTTACAGGTCAGAAAAGATGAGACAAGACGCTGCTGATTTTAAACCTTTTTGTTTACTTGGGCTTTTTTTTTTTTTTTTAACTGTGGAAGAATCGGGTTCAAGGTACCTTCAGCTAATGTCCAGAATGCACGTGCTGAGGCATAGCCAGAGCATGTAATATTCTTGTGTTCTTAACGTTTTTTTTAAAACTCCCACAATCAAAAGGTCATAATTTGTTGTAATGATGCTATAATTAAGTTGTGGTAAGTGATAGCATTTGTAGATTTTATAACCAGAATTGATTCGCAAAATGAATAGTCCCAGCAGTTTATGTTAACATAATTAAATGGAAATTTAATTCTAACTGAGTTTGCTTATTAAATTGAAAATTACTGGGCTATGAGCACTCTTACATTTCTGTCAGAATTGGTGTAAGTCTAGAATTACATGAAACATCCATTAAAATAAAGCACATTTAAGGCCCCGTGGCTGGCGGCGAGCACGTTTCCGCGGCCCGTGCAGATGGATGATGCGAACGGCGTGTGCTGACTCCTTTTCTCTTCCCTCTGCAGCCACTGGTTTGGCGCTGGGGCCCGGACGGAGCATGGCCAGGTAAGCAGCGTCCGAACCCAAAGGAAATCTCTGCGTTCCTTTCTAATATTTAACTCTCTCCCTTCAGCGTACTCGATCAGCTTTATGAGAAGGGATGTGAATCCCCGTTTCTTTAAAAAGGAGTGAATAGGACCAGGGCTTATGACACCGACCAAGCGAATGATGCTCAGTAAGCATCTGCTTGGTCTCTTCCTGCCATCGATTTGTATTAAACATGAGATTAGCCAGCAAGAGGATCGATTTATTTATTCATTCATTCATTCATTCATTGATTTATTATTTCATTTTTTTTAGGCGAGGCAACCCTTGGTTGACCTTACAGATTGCAAGGACCTTGTCAGCTTACAAAACCTTATTTTTTATGCCTACAGCACCTGGTCTTCCGAGGTGGTCTCTCATCCAAGTACTAACCAGGCCCGACCCTGCTTAGCTTCCGAGATCAGACGGAATCGGGCTTGTTCAGGGGGGCAAGAGGATGGTTTTAATCTTTAACGTTTAGAAAGTGGCAATAGTTTCTTACAAGTTTGTTGTATTTCTAGATGAGATTTTTTAAATCTCTTATTAGTATACATGGCAATACAATGATTAGCTGACTTAGGAAGAACTTGACATTCATTTTCGTTAACTTTACACAAAAAGTTTACATATAAAGTAGTTTACTTTCTTTGTCCCTTGAAGGTACTAGTTCTCTCTGTGCATCATAGTAATGTAATTTAGGGCTTAATTTTTTTTTTTTTATCACTTTTAAAGCATATATACTTTAGGCTGTGCAACCTTCCTACACTTTTTTTCTGTTATTGATTATAAAAGTTATTTTTTAAGTGAGTCAAAAATATCATATATAGGGGATACCTTTAAATACATGGAATGATAGACCCCAGCTCCCCGGGAGTCGTTTCTTCTTAGAGGCGGGCAGGCAGGTAGAGAGACAGGTGAAGAGGGGCTCGGGCGTGGGGGCCACAATCGGAAGCGTTGCTTCATTGGTGGTGTTTTATTGCTAAGCTGGGCTGTCGTTCCTCTTACTTATAAAAGGTGCCAAGTACTTCATTCTAAACTAGACCATGTATTTCCTAACGCATATGAGCCTAAATGAAGAAAAATATCTTGGGAATTCAGTTTTAATGATTTTTTTGTAAACTTGCCTTTTTCCACGAGAGCGATTTTCCTTTTGAAAAATATTTCTCCCATAATAATAGAATATGTAACGCCATTTCTAAAGATTTGGGAATTAACCAGGCTGCATCTATGATGTGTTCATCTTATTATTCAGAATGTAAAAATTAGACGCTCTGCTTTCCCAAACGGTTCAGGTCTCTCTATGGACAATGTAAGATCCTGCGTCTAGAAGTAAGCTGCATCAGGATACACTTTATCCCAAAATACTGTTTTTTTAAAACTCATTTTCTACCTTTTAAAATTCTATAATCACTAAAATGATGTTATAAATTACTGTCTTAGATCACAGTATTACTGATTGCTTCCAGCCATCCCTTATTTCTGCAGTTAAACTAGTAACCGATAACGTATAGATAAGAAAGTTAACCAGTTTCAATTCTTTTAATTTTTAAAATCTTTTTGATCAATTTATGAATCAGCCTATTGCTTGAACTTTGATACACCAGTTCAGATTTTTATCTCAACTACATACATTATTAATTAATAAATACGGTCGGTTCTTGTTATTTGCAGTAGGCATTTTCTGTAAAGTTGGGACGAACACTAAAATATCAAATACAGAAAAGTCAGCTTCCTGAGAGCCTATGGTCACAACTTTGTCGCTAGCCTATCAACGCACAACGTTGTTTGATGCGCGTTTGTTTCGAGACACCTCATTTATTCCGTATCGTGGAGACCTTAACTTTGAACGCTCGTGACCAGCAGCACGGTACCTTCTGCCTGAGGAGAGCTTATCGAATGCGCGTGTTTTCTCCAGAAGGCCCGCCCATCACAGCTCTCTTGCACTTAGGAATGCTAGAAATCTCTTCCGCGCAAGGCATGGGGACCATTTTAAAGAAACGTAATCATCCTTACGAGCCCAAAGATACAAAAAAAAAAAAAAAAGTAGCACTAGGTAGACCGCGAAAAGACTCTTTACAGTATGAGAGCTCAAAGGAGAAGACAGAGCCTCTCCTTATCAAACCTCGCCTGGGAACGAGAACTACAAGGGACTAGGTTTGACCACTGTGCACATCTGTGAGTTCACAAGTGTCAGAAAGAGTGATTTTTTTTTTAATTGCAAATAAATTTTAGCAAATAGATGAGTTCACAAAAATGGAATCCACGAATAATGAGGATCAACTGTACATATGTGTGTTCAAATACACAGACTACTCAGATTTCGAGGGATAAAATTGTCTTAGTTCAACTTAGGCTTCACTATCGCACAGCAAACTATTGGCTAAACCTAGATGCAAGTGACAAAATGCGAGACCATGAAGACGCGTAAAATCCTTCAACATGCTGTCGAGTGCCCGTTCGCATGGGCGAGCACCTGTTATTTTCCCGATACCCACTAACAAACGTAAAGAAATGGCAGAAATGGTAACCCCGCTTCCTTTGAAACTCCACCCTCTCCCCTCTCCCCATCTTCTGATTCCTCTCCCTTGCTCTTCTTTTGTGTTCAATTCCGCTTCTGTCTACACCGCGTGCACTTATCGTTTCTTTATTACGCATTCAGTAAATCACTATTTTCCACCATTCATCTACTCTGCACTTTTACAAAAAGAGATACCTGCCGAAACAACATAGCTTTTCCCCTGAGGTGGTTACGTTCTGAGGCAGAAAAGAAGAATTATAATATGTTGATAGATGTTTGAGAAAACCAGAGAGAGGGCCCTCTGAAGGAGAAAGAGCAGTCAGGTCAGAAATGGAAGTTGGCGGAAGAGGCAGCTTTATGAAGCATCTGTCTCTCTCTCTCTCTCTCTCTCTCTCTCTCTCTCTCTCTCTCTCTCTTTGGTCTTTTTAAATCCTGAGGCTTTTCCTCCGTGAACTTCGTATGGTCTGACATTTTGACTGAGTTTCCATGTATCTTAATGAGTCGTAGATCATAGTGTAGATATTACTTAGTTCTCCTTTTCAAGGTCGAGGATACTGAGTGTGAAGAGACTTGAAATTGTTTGGTAGACCTCCAAGGAGTTACCGAAAAAGTGTCTGCCAGAACAAACACTCCTGAGCTTGACTGCCTCCCTAATATCGGGCAGTTAGGAGAGCTGGAATTCGGAGGAGCAGGAATTGGGCTCCGCGCTTCTTCCGCTTGCGTTAGGGACCCGACACTCTAAGTTATCTTGCAAGCGTATCGTGAGTAGCCACAGAGATTCTTAGTGCCCGTGCTGTAAGAGCGAGAACCATTAGACCCGGGGGGATCTTTGCTTCCTGGTTCGATTCAGCAATATCATGTCCCTTTTGTGAGCCTCGCATCGTACTAGGTTTTCTGTTTATGAGCGTTAATGTAATTCTTATGTGAGTCATTTTTTAATGTGCATCTGCAGGTCACTAATAAGGGAATTGTCTCTTCGTTTGGCCTAAGTCCAGAAATCTGAAAGTGGGAAGGTAAGAAGCACTTCGCACCATCTTCAGAAGTTTTTAGTCAGAGTTGACATTGTTGAGTCAGAACCCTGAAAAGTGATGACCTCGCTTGTGACACTGATAGGAATTCAAGGAAACAGAAAAACTATCCATAAGAAGAAGGAAAAGTTTCTCAAAGCCTAGTGAGCTATCTACCCTTGCTTATTAGAGCAGAGCTCAAGGAGCCTTGTTTCTTTTCATTGTGAATTTATGACCGATCTCTTTCTTCGTTTTTGTTCTTTGGGGCGTAACAGAAACATGTTGGGAATCTTTCAAATACATGTCTTCCATTTTAGTAACCCTCTGGATTACCTTTTTCATCTCTGCCCCTTAAAAGATGTAGGGTCCCATATTAACTTGTTAAATTCATGACCCAGACATCTGCGCCTGTATTTTTTTTAACCTGAGTTTGATGGTAAATTTGCAAAGTGACACCCACATTTATAATTTTATTGATAAAGTGAGATAGTTTTGTGACGGTTTCTTAATAGAGGTAGATTGTATTAAATAATTCCAATATTTGTCTCTTTTTCTGTACAAAGCCCATCAAAACTATAAATTTGAGGAGGAAAAGAAATCCCCATATGAATCTAATGGAAAGAGCCATAAAGTCAGAGTTCGGAGAAGGTGCTATCACATTTAAGTTCATCCAGGTGGTGGCCTCTCCGAGAACTAGCCAGATGCCCTAGGCACGGCCTAATATTTATTTTGATCATTACAGTTACGTTTTTTAAAACTATAGGATTCTATTTCAGAACCTTGCGTTGGGGATATTGAGTTTTTTGCCGTTTTTAACACAAACCTCAGGAATAAATAGTGTTCAAATATCTGTCTTTTATCTTAAAATTAGAAATGTCAGTTAACTAGTATCATTAATTTAAGGTGGAGGTAGAGATTTCATCACGTCACCTCCAGCTATCTGTGTCACAAATGTTGGTTTGTATATGTATTTTTTTAAAGGCACTAGACTTAGAAATGCCAAAGTAATTAATTATTTTCAGAAACAATTTAGTTTTCATGGTACGAAATGTTTCTAAGTTGAAACACTTTCAGATTAATGGACTTTAGATAAATCGTTGCTATTTTTTTATAAGTAGTAATAATGAGATATGGCTTCAGCCACATATCAGACACTAGATCTCACTCTTATTTTTTTTATCTCATTTATTCATTCATTCAACAAATATTTATTGAGCAATAAAAAAAAAAAAAAAATCCCAGACAATGTGCTGGACCTTGGCTATGCAAACAGATTGATTGAATAACTGAAGTTAAGGGCCAAAGGGGAACGAGAATGTGATACACGCCCCAAACTTAAAAGTTTGACATGGCTGGGATATAGAATTTAGAAGGAGGTTAGGTTGGGGGTAGGAGGAAATATAATGCATTATGAGTTTAGAAATGTAATCAAATTATGAAGGGTCACAAAAACCTTGCACAAGATTGTGGGGTTTACCTGAAGGGAGTAATGTAATCAGGTCTAATTTTAGAATTACTGGCCGCAGTGTGGAAAACGGATTAGCTGGGAGCAAGGCTGGAGGCTGGGAGGCATTGGGGAGGCTGTTACAGGTGAGAGAAGGTGATGGTCTGGACTAGGATGGCAGCAGTGGGGATGGGCAGAAGTAGGTATTTAAGATAAATTTAATATGTACTTATTTAGTTAAGATATTTAGTTAAGAAGTGGGTATTTATTTAATATATACGTATTTAGTTAAGATATTCCTAAAAGACTGAGTGAGCCAACCACATGCCTGCTGATCTAATTAAGGTCTGTTCCTTCTCAAAGATGGCCGAGTGTTGCTGATAATTGATTTTAAACGATGTCATTCAATAGTTCGAAGCAGTTATTTCATTAAAAGTCATTGATACTGGTCAGATACAATACTCATCGACAGCCAGGCTCGTTAATTATAATCATAATGGTAGCATTGGAACCCTTTTCCAGCACTTCTTAATGTTCTGGTCATAGCGCTAGGCATCTGACGTGGTTTGTCTTGTTTGACAGAGTGGCCTTACAGGTAGATGGTATCATCCCCATTCTACAGAGGAAGATTGGGACTTACCGAGCTTACGTGCTTTGCCTAAGGTTGCACAGTTGTAAATGGTAGATCTGTTACTAAAAATCAAGTGACTTGTTAGCTATGTGCCCAGCAGGGATAAGAACCCAGATCTGTCCTGCAGTATTAGTTCTAAGACTTTCGTTTCTCTTCGGACTAATTTCTGATAGGATGTACAACTCCTTTTTAGCCTAGTGTTGTGTATAATCATTTTCTGTATAAATAAGCTATAGTTTTAGTGACCATGTAGTAAACAAAGTTGACCTTTTTTTTTTTATCTTTTCAAATAGAAAAAAAGTAAGCGTGAAAGAAAGTAGATGGTGAGGCATTTTGAGAAGGAAACCAAATATATGTATTTTCTAATTACCTATTTCAAAACTAGTAATTTCTTTGAAAACGTATGTTTTAAGTGTGTTTCTTTGCCATGTTAGGCCAGTAAAATCAGAGGAAATAATGTTAGATCTTTGAGTCAGTACAGGTGACAGAGCCCCCCAAACTTCGCAGCTGAACACAGCAGAAGATGCCGTTGGTAAGAAAAGTTATGTCACTTTTACCAGGACCAGTCCAGGGTACCAGGGCCAGAAGGGAGGTCTGGACCTCCAGCCTTGGGCCGGGTACTGGCTGACTGCGAGAGCAGGGGAGCCGTCGGAGAAGCTCCGCACTGCCCGCTCCTGCTAACGTTCCTGCAGGATGCTCAGTGGCATCGCTAGGAAGAGTAGCAGCCTTCGTTGCAAGAGAAACCAGTAGGGGGAAAAAAAGTAACGCAAGTGAAGGAATGTGTCCCTTTAAATGAGAAGAACCCTCTTCTACTTACCAAGTCATATAATGAAAATATTTTTGTTTCTACAACTTTGTCTTAACACTTTGGATAGCACCAGCTTCTGAGAGATAACCGACCCGAGAGAGGACACAAGAAGAACTGCTCTGTGAAAACGGCCAGCAGGTAAGAATTAAAATCACTTCTAATTCTGTTCATTTAATCATGTGCCATTGTTTTTCATACCGGTATGAATACGGTGAGTTGTAGTTGGGTTTTCTTTGGTTCTAAAGAGCCAACTTAAAATATTTTATGTGTTATTTTTAAGAATATGTTTTTGGATTACTAGTAATGATTAGAAAGATACCATTTTAAGTGTATTTTTAAAAGCTGGTGAACAATAAAGAATGAATTTTTAAAAGAAAAAATTTATATCTCCGATAACTAATGAATTTTAGGTCAGGATTTAGACTAATTATGTTATTTTTTGATTTTAAAAAGTAGAATTAATCTTTTCCCCCAAATTTAAATGGTACTGAGACCTCATGAAAGAGCAGCATGTGAATTTCTTCTTCTCATATATAAATGAATATATAGAAAACATAATCTTTTTTTAAAAGTGCTTCTAGGTTCCTGCTCATTTTATATTGCCTAGTCGATGTTCTCTTTTTTTTAATACAAAGTTTTGTGCCAGTTTATTGTTAGATGATATATTTTCAAAGTTTACATGTGGTATCTCTGAAAACTTAATTTTTGTTTAAATGAACGTGGCTTTCAGAATATTGATCAGAACTGCTACGCTGAAATTTATACTTATTCAGTCTTAAACAAGATAACTGACCTAGCAGCCACCACTGCATCCGATGGCTTCCCATTGCTAGTTTGCTAGCCACTGCATTTAACATTCCCAAGCAGGCAATGTAGCTTGTAAGTACTAACCCCCAACGGAGAACCCACTAGAAAACCTGCAGAAGCAAATGTAAATCCTATCTTGCCTACCTAATTTAGACAACCAAAAACTGCCAAACAGATAAGAAGCTGACCACCAATGACAGTCAGTCAACATAAAATCAATGTGTTTACCCCTAAGAATGTCAGAGCCTAAAATTATAAAATATGAATTAAAATTATAATCTGTATAAAACTTATACAGGTTATAAATAACTATGGATGAAATGTTTATAAAAATAAAATGAGCAGGCAACAGATCCCTATTAGAATTAACCAGGCAGAATTGAATTAAAAAATATAATTATTAGAAATGAGAAATATGATTTTTAATGAGATAATTAGTCAAATGAAATTACCTCTGAAGAAATAGGCCATAATATAGCATAAAAACACAAAGAGTTGGAAAAACGAAAGAGCAATTAAGAACTACAGAAAAGGTCTAAGGTATAGTTAATCGGAGTCCTTGGTGGAGACTACAGAAAGGCTGGGAAAAAAACATATTCGAAAAGAAGTTGGCTAAGAATTTCCCAAACTGATGAAAGTTATAAACCCCTAGATACATATGCAGAAAGCACAGTGAACACCAAGTAGAATAAATAACAAGAAATCCACACTTAGTAGCGTGCGATAGTACACCAAAAACAAGGAGAAGATCTTAGAATCCACAGAGAAAGGCCGACCACCTACGAAGAAGCTCACGGCACTGCATTTGTGAGGAACACGGAGAATCTAATAGGACTCAGCCACAAAGTATGTCTTCGCTCCAGCCCCCACCGACCGCAGAGCTCGAGAATCACAGCTCTTTCTCCTTCTCTCTGGGAGTGAGGAGAGGGAGTTTTCCTAACTGGGGAGCTGTGTGTGTTCCTAGTATCAAAGCCTCTTTACCCCGATTCCTTCCTTCCCATCACTGAAGGACTTGGGGCTGACCGGAAGACTGGCCCTTCCCCACAACACTGCCCCTTCCCCACAACACTGCCCAGTAGGACAAGAGAATAAGACATTTGAGAACAGCCTTTGCAAAAGAAAATAATGTTGGATTACTGATTCCAACAGAAGCAGAAGTGTTGGAACAAACAAGTCGAAAAATTTTAATTTCGCATAACTAAAAGAAATACAGGAAGATAATAAAAATACCAAGCAAGAAATAGAACATATAATTAAGAACCAAATACTTAGGTCTTTTTCAGGTTTTCTCAGTGGTGTTTTATAGTTTTTACTGGATAGATCTTACGCATATTTTATCAGATTTACCCCTAAGTACTTCATCAAAGTTTTTGGTGCATGGAAACATTGCTGAGAGAGATGGAAGAAGAGCCTGCCTGTCTGGAGAGAGACACCTTGTTTGTGGGTCAGGAGACTCAGGATTCTTAAGATGTCAGTTCAGTTCTCCCAGAATTTATCTATAGATTTAATACGATCCAAAGAAAAATCCTATAAGGCTATTTTATAGACATTGACAAGCCAATTCTAAAATTCACATGGAAATGCAAAGGTCCTAGAATAGCCAAACTTAAAAAAAATAAAGTCAAAAGGGTAACGGTGCCTGATTTCAAGACTTATTTTAAAGCTACGGTAATCAAGAAAGTATGGTATCGGTGCAAAGATAGAAAAAAGATCAATGGGCTAGAACATAGAGTTAAGAAATACATTCATATATATATAGACAACAGATTTTTGAGGAAGTATAAAGACAATTTAGTGGAGAAAAAATAGTATTTTCAGCAAAATGGTAGTGGAATAATTGGGTATCCATTTGCAAAAAATGAACCTGGGTGCATACCTCAATCTATATAGCAGACTTAACTCAAATTAGCTAAATATGAAATGAGCTAAATACGAAATCTAAAAATATACGAAATGAGCTAAATACGAGCTAAATACAAAATCTAAAAATATAAAACTTCAAGAAAACACAGGATAAAATCTCTGTGACCTTGGACTGGGCAAAGACTTTTAGATAAAACTCTAGAATACGATTCATAAAAAAACAAACGGATAAGTTAGCCTTCATCAAAATGGAAAACTCCGCTCTTCGAAAGACACTGTTAAGAGAATGAAAAGGCAGCCTGCAGAATGGAAGAGCAAACTTGCAAATCGTAGGTCTGGTAAAAGGCGCATATCGAGAATATACAAAGAACTCTAGTCACTCAATAAATCAACTAAAATGAAAACCAAGCACACGTTTGAAGAGACGCCAAAGATATGTGGATGGCAATATGTTAAACATCACTATTCATTAGGAAAATACAAAGCAAAACCACGATAAGGTACCACTTAGAACTTACAAAGGGCCAGAATGAAAAAGGTTGACCTTACACAATGTAGAATTGTCATGGGGAACATAAACTAGAACACACCCCCTGGAAAATAATTTCTTACAATGCTAAACATAGACCTACTGACTATATGGTCCAGGTGGATACTTGAGAACAAGTATTCTTAGCATTTTTATTCATAACAGTTCAACAAAAGAAACACCCCAAATGTTCATAAACAAGTAAATGGATATAGTATATTCATACAGTGGAATACAATTCAGTAATAAAAATGGATAAAGAATTGATACATGTAACACATTTATATAAAATTCTCGGAAATGTAAACTAACGTAATAGTGACAGGAAACCCATCGGTTGTTGACGGGTGTGGGGTAAGGGCCAGGGAGGGACTGGAGGGAAGGATGACAAAGGGGCATCGAGAAACTGTTGGGATGATGGGTATCTTCATTATGGTGGTTGGTGTAATGGTTTCATGTGTGTATACGTCCAAACTTATCAAAAAACTGTGTACTTTAAATTAGATCTCAATAAAGATCTTAAAAAAAAAAATTTTTGCCGTAAAATCCTGAATAGTTTTCTATTTCATGCCAAGTAAAAGCTAAAGTCCTTATCTTAGCCTACAAGGCCATCTGCGACCTGACCGTGCCCTTCTTGGCTTCCTCCCTGACCCGTCTCCTCCCAGCTTAACTTACTCACCTGCTCCAGGCGCAGCGGCCGCTTTCCTGTTCCCCCAGCACGCCAAGCCCTCTCCCGTCTCAGGGCCTTTGCACAGCCTCCCTGCAACTATCCGTTAGGCTTGCTCCCCGTTTCCTTCAAGTCTGCTCAGTGTGAGGAGGGCCCGCCCCCACCAGTGCCATCACACGCTGCTGCACAAGTGTCTTCCTCAGTGCCCCTGTTGCCCCTCTCTTTAAGCTTCATGAGGGCAGAGAGTCTTTGCTTTACTCACTGGTATGTCCCCAGCACCAGAAACAATACCCGACACGTAGGCAATGAATATCTGCTGCATAAAGTATTTGTAGGATGAGTTCTAAACAATTCCGCAGCGGTACAGTGCGCTGCTTGAGTCCTTATCTTGGCCTCTGTGTGCAGCCTCCGCAATTAGAGTGTCTGGCTTCTCCTCCTGGTTCCACCATTTCCTGAGCAAAAAACTTAACTTCTCCGTTCTTCCCTTTACTTAACTGTCAAGTCGAGAAAATAGTAGTGTCTATTGTATGACATTGTTGTAAGGAACATATGAGTTAATGCCTGCGAAGCATTTGCCGTGTAAGAGCTCCAGTGCCAGCTGCAGTATGAAAAGCATGCTATTGTTATTTCCATCTGTGTGTTTCCTGAGCATTTGTTAAATTTTATTTTTCATCGTACTCTTTCGTACGTTGTTTAGAATGTCGAGCCATTCCGTTCGATTTCTAATGAAGTACAGCGGGCCCAGCCCTGAGCTTCCTCATTCCCCAGTCTCACCCTCCAAGGAAACCACTTTCAACTCTTTTAGCTATTTCTTCTGGTAACGACCTAAATTACATGCTGCTAGTACTGTTTCGTGAAGTCTTTAATTTAGCATTACCTAGCGACTTCCGGCTGCGAGCCCTCTGCACACACGTGCACCGCGTACCT